TGGTGGTCTGATTGTAGTACCGGACTGCCTCCTGCAGGACAACAGTCAAAGAAATGATGAGTGTCAGAGAGACCCAAAGACTCAAAAGCGGGGAAGAAATCAATAAGCCCTCTTTAGGATGTGTGTGTTTCTGTGACAAAGCAATAAACATTTTATAGGAACAGTTATACGTTTTTTTTTATTACTGGTATATCAAAAATACATTCAGATGGCCGCCTGCCCTCAGCTTAGTTCAGTCAGAGGGTTCTTCCTGTTAAAAGATTGTTTTTCTTTCCTACTGTTGCCAAGCGCTTATTCAAAAGGGTTCGTTTAATTGTTGGGGTTTCTTTGAATTATTGTAGGGTCTTTATCTTACAATCTAAATCACATTTAGGCAACAGTTGTTGTGATTTGGTGCTATATAAATTAAGTTGGATTAAATTAAACTTTGTTCAATAAAATTTTACTTACAAAACCTTCTGTTTTCTTGGATGGGCTGTTAGAGAAATTACCTGCACAAAAGGTAAATGCTACAAAATACACCAACACCACAATCATGACTGAGAGGTCAGCTGTGGTGAAGCCCAGCAGACAGCTGCTAACTGTAGCCACCTCTGTTGGCCACAACTGTAATAATACAGAAGCATTTTATTTCCCAGGCAGTAAACATGTTTTTTAACAAGGTAGTCCATGGCGCTAATCTCACTTTTAGAGCCAATCTCAAGTGGCTGCTGGAGGAACTGCAGTTTTTGGCACTGATGCATTTTTATAGCTGTTTTTTTTTTACCAATAAACCTGCATCTGGCAAATGGCTTACTATATGAACTTAATTAACATTAAAGGCTGGAAACAGGGTGGAAACTTCCAGGATTCACTCATGGGCACCTGTGAAAATCAATAACAACACAGATACCCTGCAGCACACAGAATTATGCCCTGCTAAGCTTCATATTTGCCGAACAGATCTTTTCAACAACTTTTAGGTAAAAAAGTTAATAAACATGCTTCCAAAAATGTGAAATAAGTCCTTCAGGGACTTGTCATCATCATCATCATCATCATCATAACAAAAACATAAATAAATAAAACAAGCTTTTTAAATAAATCCACAATATGCTCTCCCAGGCTGAGATGCATCAATCAGGTGTGTGCATATTCTGTGTAATTAATTCTGAACATCACTCACTGATCTGGGGAGGAAATCATCATCTATCAGTCCCCACTTGCTTTTGTGGAACTTGTAATACTCCACGTTGTTCTTCATGACTTCATCATTGGGGTCAAACAGCAAGTAGCTGGTTGCACACGGCACTGCGTTCTTCAAGTCATTCACTGAAAGCACAGTTAAAGTCACAGTCAAACTCCAGCAAACGAACCTCAGAAATCCGAAAGAGAAATACTTCTCTGCTCAAAGCTGCCAGCTGAGTGCTACTCACGCTTGTAGTAGGCGAACTGCAAGTAGTGGTACATGGTGGCCACAAACTTCTCAACAACATAACCGCCGACAACAGGTGTCAGGTCGCTCTCACACCCGGCCTTCCTCTCCAGCACTTCCATGTAGTGGTCTGAACAGAAAATAAGTTTAGGCCTTCAATAAACAGTCATGACTGCACATGAGATGGACATGAGCTGACCAGCTATCGAGGGGTAGAAGTCTTTAAAATCTCTGATGTCCCTCGGTCCCTCAGACGCAGCCAGACACTCGTCGTAGACCTTGAAGAAGTCCCTCAGTGCCAGCTCCATGTCTGACACCGAGGTACGGAAGTTTTCGCCATTGTACGCCCTCACGGCACGTATAAATAAGGTCTGGGATACCACAAGAAAAAAGGATTTGAAAACACAATCCAGAGTGTTAATGCAAACTTTGATAAAGGACTCAGTATTAATCAATCAACACTATGATTATCTTCTGTCTGAAATCTTTGACAAGTAATGGTTGCAGACTCTCTTTTTCCACCTTCCCACGCTTGCATTTTACATAACAACACTAATAAATATCAAGACACATGAAATTTCGTAGCGTAAAGTAAAGTGGATGTAGCCACTAAGGCCCTGCCAAGGATGCCTTAAAGTCCTCAGACCAAAACTGGCAAGTTCATATTCCCAGATATGCCCGTTTGACCTGCACGACCACAGGCTGCTTCCACATTAGGGCACCCACAGAGCCAATAACAGAGTGGGCTGCATGCCACATGGGAGTGACGCCTCTTGTGGATAAAAGCCTCGAGAAATCAGAAAGGATCAAAATGAAAGCGTGCCTCGCTGTGTTTAAAGCATGTATCTGTGCCTACCTCATAGGATTTGGTCTCCAGGTCTTTCAGGTGGTCCTCGGCTCCAGGCAGACTCTTGTAGTAGGCCATGTTTCTCTGCATCATCTCATCATCCGGGTGTTTCAGGAGGAAGGTGTGGGCAGCAGACACAGCCTTGGCCAGGTTGTCAGACTAGAACACAAAAACACACATTAGAATGATTTGTTTTTGTGCTGGTCAGTAAAGAAACCACACAAAGCCCATGGTACTAACCTGAAATGAAATTAGTGTCACATGCAGCAGTAGATTTACTTGTAAGAGTGATGTCATTTATCAGTTATCAGCTGATGTTTGTCTTCACTTATTAATCTGTTTAAATCACCAAAACTGACCACAACTTATATTGTTGGCAGTGTGCCCTGTTGTTTCCTCATCACTGACATCTGCTTCTACTTCAACTGTATATAAAGCACTATAATTATAATTACAAATATAACTGCATACAATAAAGTTGAATTGAATTGATATATAGTAACTATATATTTATTACAATGATTCCAACATCTTTGATATAAAGATGATATATGTGTTATTAATGTCTGTGTCACGGTGTAGTCCTGTAACTTGTATATGTAAACATACCTCGTCAGTAAAGCTGATTCTGATTCCTCACACACATCTCCACTCTCATGCACACCTTACTTCACGCTCCGTTACTGCTGCATATTTTTTTAATTATTTTAGATTAATAGATTACTTTGCGAAACAGGTGCAAAACAGTGTGTCTTCCCCCTTTTTTGGCATTGCCCTAGGAGCTTAGTTGTGGCAACTGGGAGTTCAATATGATGTGATTACATTAATTTCCATTAAAATGAAACTTTTTGGTGACCCCTTGGGCCATGTGGAGGAAATCACCAGCATGGAAATGTTAAAAATACAATAACTATATTGACTAACACTTCCACATGGGATCATCTGCGTTTGTCATGTTTCTCAGCTTCCTGAACTATTCCTAAATTTGCTTTAACAATCGACTTTCTGTGACCATGCTGTGCTTGTAAAATAGACGATTCTAAGATGTGCAGAAGAATAAGAACCGGCGCCTTTATCGGTGTCTCTTTCCTTTCCTGTCCTTTCCTTAAAAATGGACCATAAACCACGAGAGTTTAGTTCTTACAGCAGACCCCCAATTGTGCATCCGTGGCACGTAGATGACGTCAAAACGCACGTCGGGGAAAAATCACGACCATAGTTAAATAAACCATTATCACTGGGTAAAGAAAGTTTGAGACTCCAATCTCATTTAGGGGACCCCTTCGAGGCCCTCTCCTTATTAGTTCTGCTTACTTTGAAGTAGGCATATTGAAGGTATTTGTACGGCTCCCTCCTCTCAAATTCATCTATAGTGTCCCGGCTGGGCATGGTCTGCCTGAAAGCGGGTAAGCCCTGTTTGCAGCGCTTCAGGCACTGCGCTCTTTTCATAACGTTTCCAAACGCCTGCAGCTCTGGAAACTCCGCAAACCTCTGCTCGTCCTCCAGCCTCACGGAGCTGCAGTTAAGGTTGCAGAAGGCCTCGCTGTCCCGCAGCAGCCGGTAGAGTCGCAGAGACACCTCCATGTACTCCACCGTCTCCTTCCACTTCTCTCCGGTGTACTGATCCAGTGCATATTTGTAAGCGGACTCCAGAGGCATGAGCTCATGCCTGGGGAAACTCCTGAAGCTGTATTTCTCATACTGGGAGTTCACCACGGAGACGAAAAATGCGATTAATAAGGCAGAAAAAAGCTGGGAAGAAGTGGAGGTAGCCATTTTTGAGGCTGGAAAGAGCTGGAAGGGTAGGCTGTTGAGCGTGGGTCTATAGGCCCGCCTCAAGTTCCACCACGTATCCAGACAAAACCTCCCCTCCCACGGGCACGGGGCTGGCAAGATCGCTCTGTCCAGTGGGAGCTACTGGATGTGCTCCTCCCATTAAATTACAAAAGTAAAACTTTACAGTTGTTCGGATTTTTCACAGTACAACTGAAAAGCCGGGCTGAAAATCTACATTTCATAACTTTTATTAGGGAAAGCATGAATTCAAAAAGAGTGTATTTTACCCGAAGGGTATGAGTATTTACCGTCTGCTTTACTTTTTTAAAATATTTTTTCACATTTAAAGCTTGAACCTCTTTCTTGCCTAATTAAACCCCCGGTGAGATTGTCCCCCCTCCACCTCTTCTCCTCCCACTGCCACGTAGAAACATTCCTGCTCTGTCTGCCTCCCCTCCAAAAACCTGAACACCACCAACATACTCTATCTGTGCGTAAAGTCAGCAACAATCGTTATGCGTGCTGCTTATTCTTACACTTTGACTATAAATCAGAGGCGTAGCCAGATATGCAGATATTGTTTTTTTTTATGGATCCAGGTGGATGTGTCCGCATCTGTTTGGAGACCCCAATGTTTCCACGTTGACACATAACTCGGGCAGCACTGCGCAAGAGCAATGCGCGGTGCCCCAACTATCCCATTCAATTGCAAAGTGCGTTAAGTCAGCTGGAGCGAAACACGGAAGTAATACGTCACAGTGTCGAAATAAGAGTCTAATTTTCTAATCTAATATTGTGTGTTTTTTGCTTGTGTGGCACAGAGATATTGGACCACACGTTTCAACCTCTTGTATTTGGGTTTTATTAACAATGCGTCACATTTAGACGAATAGTCAAAGTTTTACTTGTAATATTCAAACCGGATGTGGTGCGGCTTTTTCTCTGGCTTGACACGTGATCAGTCCTATGCTGGAACCAGAGGCAGGACTTGTGTCCAAATCGGAGTAGAGGAAATCAAAGCACCGGGGGACAGGGAGTCAGCGGGCACACAGGCAGGCCGTACCCACAGTTACCTCCATCGTCTCAAAGCTTTCTCCTCGGTCACAATGATCAAGTGCGCGCAGGGGGTGTTGTATCTCTCGGTTCTGGTGACGTTCGCCGCCTGCAACGCTCCTCCGGTACCGTTAGACGACATCCTCATTGAGAAAACCTCCGTGCCAGAGCAGTGTGTGCGCGCGGTCAAAGTGGGAGATTTTGTCAGGTATCACTACATCGGCACGTTTCCAGACGGCAACAAGTTCGACTCCAGGTGATTGTCTCACATTTGCATTATTTCCCTCTCACTTTAGCACCTTTGCGTTTAGAAGACCGGCTGCACGGTCCGAGCAGCGTGCGCGATGCGTAAAAGTGCGCGTTTTGTGGTTCGCCCCTGTGAGCCACGCAGGCAACCAGACAGCCTGAGCTCTGGTGCTTAATCTCAGGGTCCAAAACTGTTTTCGTGTCGTCTGGAAAACAGACGGTAACAGGGATTACACAGGACCCCGATCTGAGAGATAATTTAACAGTTAAACTCGTTTTTGTTTTATGCAGAGGCTTCTTCCACGACCTTTAAAGTCCCCCGAACTCCACTTTGCAAACCACTGACAGTGAAAATATCTTGCACAGTGGTCAGCTGGGCAGACACCCAAAGCCCCACATACACTGTCACATTTGATTTACTGCACAATGGATTACAGCATAAACTATGATGGACTCTGCAGATTAAGATAACACCGTGGCCCAGTTTTAGTGAGAAATACACTTACATTTTTGCATAAGAGTCTTTGTGTTAAATCTTTAGAAATAAAAGGCTGTTAAGATGTTGAAATATGAAAAAGAAAGGCAGTCACTTTAAAAACCTGAAGTCATTGCCTCAAAGGAAATGTGATTAAAGCCAGGGAATAAAACGATTCATGTTACACAGCAACATCCTCATAGATAATTCCCTGACAGTCTGTTTTTGTTCATGTTTTAGTTATGACCGTGGCAGCACGTACAATGTCTTTGTTGGCAAGAAGCAGTTGATTGAAGGGATGGACAAAGCTCTCGTGGGAATGTGTGTCAACGAGAGAAGACTGGTGAAGATCCCACCTCAACTCGCCTACGGAAAACAAGGCTACGGTGCGTATGTCTGAACGCGTGCCAAACTCATATCAGCACATCGCTCTGTCCCATATGACTGATTGTTTGGAACGAGAACAAAACTTCTGTGCCCAAACTCTGGGAAGTTAGGGCACAGACTGGTGTTTATCCCTCTGTAGTTACTAAAAATATATCTCTGGCAGAGCTAATCATAGCACAGAGAGATCTTGGTGGGATATTTGCAGGAGCACAAGGCGGAGAAGTTACAGTCTTTGATGAAGGCTCTGACTTTTGTTCTGTTGAAATCAGTTGAAGCAAAGAGGAAGTGGGCTGCTCCTAAGCTTCCATGTTGAATGATGTCAGAGGGGCATCACAGACCAGGAAGCAGACCAGAGGAAGCCGCTGTGGATTTTCAGCTGTGAATGTTACTGCATCAGCTGCAAGCAGATACACTGTCATGTCATGAGTGTGTGTGTGGAAATGAAAAAAACCTGGGCCGTTGTTCAGAAATCAGTGTGTTTGTGAAGCTATGTTTACAAGAAGAGAGAGGTGTGTATATGTGAGAGAGCATGAAATATTTCTATCCCATTATCTAATGTGAAAGAGAGAGAAAGAGTGGGCATGTGGAGACAGGTAAAGGCTGAGGCTGTGTCCTCTACCGCCGCCTGTTTTAGAGGGATCAAACAAGGGAAAATAAAACTGGTGAGATAGACGGAGCGCTCTGAAATGGTAGAGGGAAAATTTTGCCAGAAGAGACTGCCAACTCATCAGTAGTAAAATCACAATGGTTACCACACACTCAGGCCCTCCACCTCCTCCTCCCATGCCCTTACCTTCGCCTTCTTCACTTTAGATCCACATCTTCTGTCTGCTCGTGGAGCTTCTGTGAAAGAGTAGAAGAGTATGGAAGCTTATTTCTGCCACTGAAAAGACAAACAAACACATTTTTGCCATTCATATCTCAAAACTTCAACTTACTAACTCAAACTCATGAAAAAATGACTTGAAATATTGAGCTATTACATCAAAACTTTTAGATAATAACATGAAATTTTGAGTTATGGATGACAAAAACTAGATTTTTGTTTCAGGCTTCCACAGAGAAGAGAAGCAGAGACTCCAGAGAAACAGTTTATACCTGCAGTTTATAACGTACAGAGAACAATCACATTTACACACATATTATATACACTCACCAGTCAATTTATTAGGTACACCTTGCTAGTACTAGGTTGGACCATCTTGTGGCGCCAGAGCTGCCTAAATGTTTTCAGGCATAAATTCAACAATGTGCTGGAAACATTTCCGAGAGACTTTGGTCCATATCGACATGATAACGTCACAAAGCTGCTGCAGATTTGTTGGCTATGCATCCACGATGTGAATGTCCAGTTTAACTTAACTAAAAATTTTAGCTACAGTAAAGAAATCAAATCAAAATGAAGGTTAAAACACTTAAAACTGAACAATATCAGGATTTCCTGTAAAAGCTCATCAGAAAAACCAGAATCGATTGTTTATTTAATCCAGATATCCCACTGCAGAGTTTAAGAATCACCTGCCGTCCTCTCCTCCACAGGTAACATCATCCCTCCTGACTCCATCCTCCACTTTGACGTCCTGCTCCTCGATGTGTGGAACCCCGAGGATGGCGTCCAGACAAACACTTACCACACACCCTCCGTCTGCTCCAGAAAGGTGGAAGTGTCTGACTACGTCCGCTACCACTATAACGGCACCCTGCTGGACGGGACCCTCTTTGATTCCAGGTTTGTCTCGTACAAGCTGTCATTCATGCATCAATCCACCTGCACACTTACAGCCTGTTTTCGCCACTCTCTGCTGCAGCCACACCCGCATGAGGACCTATGACACTTACGTCGGGATCGGCTGGCTGATCGCCGGTATGGATCAGGGTCTTCTGGGAATGTGTGTTGGAGAGAGGCGCATCATCACTATGCCCCCATCGCTTGGATATGGAGAGAATGGAGATGGTGAGTTTTGATGTGATTAGTTCCTTAAAGTCTTCTGTCAGACTGACGACCTGTCTATGGCGTACCCCGTCTCCTGCTCTACGACAGCTGGGATAAGCAGTCAAGAAAATAGATGGATGGATTTCCAGTTTCTTCAAGTTTTACTACAAACACTAGAATTTAGGTGAAAAGAAGCAGCTGCACTAATACCATCCAATATGTATCCTGTTAATCACACTAGGCTGAGTTTAGATAGATCTACAGTAAACAAGACATTTTAAGTAAACGTGCCACACAATGACCTTATAGTATGAGAGAGTGCAGAGGCGGCAAAAGTACAGATATTAGGTACTTAAGTAGAAGTACTAGGGTTTAGAAGTACTCTGGTCAAAGTTCAAGTACTGATTTAACTTCTTTACTCAAGTAAAAGTAAAATTGTCATTGTCCTCCCTCCTCTTCTGTAGGGCTAGCTAGATGCTGAAGTACCACGAAAATAATAATAACTTCCCTCAAATGTCTTTAACTAAAGGTAATGAGCCTGTTTTGAAAATGTAAGTATACACAAATATATTTGTGTGAAAACGTATGGAGTAAAAGTACAAAATAGCCAGAAAAATAACTTTGTAACTAAAGTACAGATACCTGAAAAATTCAACTTAAGTACAGTAACTGAGCATTTGTATTTATACTTTCTACCGCTTTACAAGAGTGATAAAAAGAAAGAAAAGTAGATAGTAAGAGTAAGACTGACACTGTTTAAAGGTAGTGGAAATTGCATTAATAAATAAAACACTATAAACTGAAGAAAAACAGCTGCATGCAGGTAAAATAAGTTAAGTAATAGGAAGTTTATCCTTCATCCATTGCGTAGCACGGTTATGTGACTACCTGCTGGAGGAAATTAAGATGGAATGATTCACAACACCTTTGTGTATGTGAGTTATTAACAAGTTCAACTGAAACTGGTTGTGTTTAAGGGTAAGAAAACCCGCTTACTCACACTCTATCATTAACAAGCACAAACATTATTATTAAGAAGGCTCCCGTGCTCTCATGTTCACATCACATTATCGGGATCTGATTTGCTGAAAGTTTGGGAATAGCAACCTGAGCCCAGAAGAATAAAGAGTTTAGCTTCTTCGTCATCTTCTTCTCTCCTCAGGCAGTGACATCCCCGGACAGGCTTCCCTGGTGTTTGATGTTGTCCTCTTGGACCTCCACAATCCCAGAGACGGGATCACAGTGACTAACCAAGTGGTGCCAGAGTCCTGCACGAGGAAGACCGTTTCTGGAGACTTTGTGCGTTACCACTACAACGGCAGCCTTCTGGATGGGACATTTTTTGATTCTAGGTATGTATTCATCACAGAGGGAAACGTGTTCTCGTGGTTCCTAAATAAAAACCGTTTATTGCCCGCTGTTTCTGAAGTAGCCTCACGGTGGCAGCATTTCTCTGGAGACACAAAGAGGAATCGAAACTTAAACTTCAAGTAGAAACTTCCTGCACATCTGTGTCACATAATAGTGTAACTGTTTTAAGTTTAAAATCTCTCTTCTTATGGTGTTTCTTGTGGATTTGAAAAAGCCTGATTTAGAGCGGCATTGCTTGTATGCTAAATTTAGAACCACAAAGGACACAAATAAGAGATACAGCCAGAAACTAATTTGATTTGAAAAATCAAAACAAAACGCAAGAAAGGTGTAGCTTAGTTTTCTGAAGAAAGATGTCATATGTAATAAGATAATTTCATCATTTATCATCATCATTTCATCTATCAGGTCAAGTACATGCGCCCAACAGCTTGTTGAATCTGTGCCACAAAGAAATAACACGGTTCTGAATGACGTGTACCACAAAATATTGCCAGTGAATGCAAGAAAAAAGGAAAAAAGAAACACATTTGCACTCATATCTGATTTGCACTGTGTGCATTTCTTTGGTATCTGCGTCATGTGACGCAGAGTTATTCAAGGTAAACGAACAAATGCACAAACAAATGCACGCTATTAAACCAGTTGTTGGTTGCAGCTCGCGCCCAGTGGTTTTGAGGGTAAGATCGTTTCCTGCTGTTGCGCTTTAAGCAGACGTAGTTATTGTAACAGGTGTGATATTGAATGCATCATCACCAAATGACCTGACGTTGGATTTTAACGTCTGGGTAGTCTCACAGCTAAGTGTCTTCCACACAGCTAGCAGCTAGCACACTGTGTCCGTCACAATAAAGCCAGTAAATCTGGTATTGTTCATTTACCTTCGAAGGTAATGCACATAAACATTCAGCATCTTCAGAGAGAGGTTCTGCAGTTCTTGGAGGTTTTGCAGATGTTGAATGAGAACATTCCCTTTAGGAGCTTCTTTTAAAACAAGGGAGAGTTGATTTTAGATGCAGCAGCAATTTTTTTTTTTTTTTAGCTTGTTTAGTATTTATTTATGTGTAGGAATTACATTTACACCCTAAATGCAGGAAACCAATAAGCGGGTAATGAGTCACTCCTGAATTCAGTCATCCGAATTGTGAGTTAATAAGGACTGTAACATCTGCCTCTCTTAGACTCAAGACCCAAGACTGTTTATTTTCAGCATAACCATATTTGCATATACAGTGTGCTGAAATATCGTCCCCGTTAGGTCTACGTGAATCAAAAATATATTTTAAAAAATTAAAATCTGCAAAACTCAAAAACTACGAGTTTTAATTAAATCAAATCAAATTTATTTCTTTAGCACATTTAAAAGACCAGTGTACGTCATAGAGCTTCACAATAGTACCGCAATGTGGGGAGAAACAAGGGACAAATTGAACAATTACAATAACATGGTATGTGGTGCAAGAAAGTCAAACTAATTTGCTTCAAAGGCTAAATTACACAGGTACGTTTTTAGGCACAATTTAAACAATTGAATAGATTCGGATGTACGGACATCAACTGGGAGATTATTCCAGCGTCTAGGAGCGGCAACAGCAAAGGCACGGTCACCTCTGGCTTTTAAATGAGACCTTGGTTGCACTAAGAGCAGTTGGCTAGAAGATCTTAGTGCTCTCTTGGGGTTATACAGGTCAAGGAGATCAGTTAAATAACTAGGTACTGTTACCCCCAATTCTTTGATCTTTGGCTTGAAGGAAGAACAACACCGAGTGTTTAATGCTCAATCAACAATCTCTTTATTCCATACAACACTTTCCACAGGAGGGTGTCTTGAAGTGTGTGACAGTTACACATAGCTTCTTCCCCTCCCCCCTCCAGGGTCATGAAGCATAAACCTTCACATTATTTCTATCTTACGGCGCCTAAGTGACGGCCTTGGCTTCCTGTTTTATCTCTTCCTGCTTAGATGGGGCAGAAAACCTCTACCCAGTATGCTCTGTTCTCTTTGTAATCAGAAAAGGAAGGGCACGATTCTACACAAACAGCATTTCTTATAACTCAGCAGTGTAATGCATCATAAAACAGTCTAATAAATCTAATGTTTTCTCACCTTCTTGTAGATCAGGAGTGTAATGCAACCTAAAACAATATAATGATTTCACAATCTTTAATCAAAGGCATAATGTGGCCTATAGCGGTATAATGATCTGCTTTTATACACTTTCTGGTTCAGTCTTGAAGACATCACCGTATTCAAAACACATCAATCATGATTCCTCCTCAACGGCTAATCATAAACATAAAACAAAAATGATCTTTCCAAAACAACCTCCTATGTCTGCTGCAAATGTCAAGGCAACCCGATAACCACAATAATAGAGTATAAAACCTATTTATACGCAGAATTTAACACCGTAACCTGACGTGTGTAGATTCGTAGTCATCCCGGTCATGTAGTCTCAGGAGCTTAGGGCACCCGACTGTCTGCCACCTACAATGCTGGTGCCTCAATCTCCACTCACATCTTGCATCTCAATGAGTCACAGGATGGTGCAAGGCAAGGCTTCACAATGGTTTCACACAAAACCTCTCCTGTTATTGAGCCATGCCGTTTTCACACCTTGGCTCATGATTAATGGGTCAACAACTCCTTTAAGGGACAACCCCCGCTAGGGTTTAAATACCTGAGACTCTCTACCGGTTTGTTTTACAAATGAAGAAGTTTCTCGGATGAGAGGTGAAACGTCTTCAAGAAACTTAAAGAAGTCCAGTGGCTTTCTTTCCCAGCTTTTTAGACTATAACCAGTACAAAATGTAAACATGGATAGCAGGGATTAAAGAGGAGCCGTGATAATAACGCATCACATTTCTAAAGACTATCACAAAACATATCAGATCAAGTGTTATCTGTTATCTGTCTTATGCGTTAGCGAGAGAAGTGTGCATTGTTGCCTGTGTGTGTCTGTCTGAACTAAGAGAGCAAAACTTACAAAATTAGGATGACACTGGTGTGATCCAACAGCAGACTGGGTAGGGGGCATATTACAAAGGAGGAAATGAAGTCCCTGGTTTGATTATCTGCTAGATAGATGTTTTTTGTGTGTGTTTATCTCTTTGTTCATTACCCTGTATCTATAAAGGAAAACTGACATTTGCAATGTGTTACGGTGTTTTTACCTCCTCCATATCGGCGTGCATCTGAAACTCAAGCTTAAGCTATGACTAACTTTATTATATGAGGGTAAAAAAACAAACTGTTTTCACCTTCAAAATTATTTTCCTAATATTTTCTTTTCCTCAGCTACTCTCGCAATCGTACCTACGACACATACGTGGGTCGAGGCTACGTGATCGCCGGCATGGATGAGGGCCTGATCGGAGTCTGCATTGGGGAGAGACGCACCATCACCATCCCCCCGCATCTCGGTTACGGAGAGGAGGGCACAGGTGCGTATGTGTAATGCTCACATTCGTATTGGCTCGTGAGAGAAAGATCATAAGAGTCACGAGCCATGAGATCAGAAGTGTTTGTTATCATGCGTTTTTCTTGTGGTAGAGAAAACAGAAGGTCTGCTGTAGCGACGGGACATAAACGTTCGTTTTTGAGAACGTCTCTGTACAAATGTGCACGCTTTCCACTCAAGATTCAATAAATTCAAAAGAAATTCTGGATTCTTGTTTTGACTGAAATCACAGGTAGATTCAACTCCTTTTTTCCCCTTTCCACATCTCTCTCTCTCTCAGGCACAAAGATCCCAGGCTCGGCAGTGCTGGTGTTTGATGTCCACATCATCGACTTCCACAACCCCTCGGACATCACTGAGATCACCGCCACTTTCAAGCCAGACGAGTGTGACAGGCAAACTAAGAAGGGAGACTTTGTTAAATACCACTACAATGCCTCTCTGATGGACGGCACATCCATCGACTCCACGTAAGTAAAGCTCTGTTGGACTCTTCTGGGAGAGGAAAAAAAAAAAAAAAGCTAACAGAGAAACTGAGAATTACTAGTGCAGAGTTGGGATTGAGCTAAATGGAGGCGTCAGCGTGAAGGTGGGAGCTAAAATTTAATAGCAAGGCCA